GAATTATGGTGCCCCACATCCCCTGAAATCCTTGAAGGAGAGAGTACGGGCCCCAGACTGGCTGGCGGCCAGATCGGCCCTGAAGATCTGAAGGCGATCCTCCATCAGCTCCATGATACCCTCCTTGATCGACCCAAACATCACCGGGGTCGCATCAAGGATGCCCCTAGTAACCTATGACGCAACAACTCACGTAATCCCTCATCAATTGGTTCGATACCTGTGCCCGAACCAGATCCAGATCCTAAACCCCCTGCTCCACTACGTGTCACCACCATGCTGAAACATAATCAAATAAACAATCAGCAAACACACGAAGAGGTTCACACTTTCGAGTTTCCCAGATTCATCGAGGTCTTCCTTGTCTCAGGTATAAATCCTGTGCTTCCAGTAGTACATGACGAATACTACCTCACATACCTCTCTAGACCCTCCCCAAGGACTACCCTGATTCCTCCAAGTCACTCCTTCCTATCTAACACTCTCTTCATACTATAAGGTGTCCTATGTGCTAATACATATTCTGGGAACTTCATAGGGTTCCTTTCCTCACCACTCTATGTTGTCAGCTGCAGCAAGAACTCCCACTAATACCATCTAACTACCATACGAATACAATTATATACTATCAATACTAGATCATTCTTTGAATGAAAGGTCCCACACTACAACAGTTGGACTCAAACAAGAGCTAAGCAATAGAGTTAAATCTATCCTTCTAAAATTATCTAGTCTCAATAATATGTAACCAAACACATTCATCCACTAGTCAGTTGGTACTGATTAAATTCCTAAAAGCACAAAGCAAACATCATTCGAGCATCAAGTAATTCAAATCAGAACACAACCTAAACAGGCCATCCTATCATAAAACTGATCTCACACTAGCATGCAAATCTATAAGCTCTTACAATAAGCACATCTCTCCTAGAATTCTATCATGCATTCCTGAGTAGATCCTTAGTCCTAATCTAGCATGTGATTCTCATATCATAGCATGAAACATTTAATATGTATGGGTATCTTGGGAAGACTTACTTGAGCTCGACTCATTGCATGTATCATACCCTTATTAAAATACCTTATTTAAAATGTTTATTTTTTATGAAAAATCTAACAAATCCTCGATTTGAGTTCAGGCACACCCGAGAGTTTGCCCAAATCCCTCAAACCAAGGATCTAATACCAACTTGTAACATCCCAGAATTTCCAAATAAAAATTTTCATTTCAAACATCCAATAGTCTTGTCAAAACAACCAAAAGTGTATCATAATGAAAAGTATTATCAAAGTACAAATCCCAAAATCACATAATGTAGAAAAAGAAACACGGGCGGATGCGGTGCGATCAAGTCGGGCCCTTTCCTTTCGAGCTGGAAGTACCTGAAACACAAACTGAAAACCGTAAGCACAAAGCTTAGTGAGCTTCCCCAAAATACCCCGTACCATATAGACATAACAATCAAGCATAACTGGGTCTATTTCAACCCTTTCGGTCTCTTTCAACCGGTACTAAGTCTATTTCAACCCCTTCGGTCTCTTTAAACCGGTACTGGGTATATTTCAACCCCTTCGGTATCTTTCAACCGATACTGGGTATATTTCAACCACTTATGTCACTTTCAACTGGTATCGAGTCTATTATACCCCCTACAACCAACACATAATCATAACAGTAAGAGTCACATATACGTGCAATACAGGAAATTGTTACGAAGACAATTATCATCCTACCAACATAGTCTATAGGGCCGACATTGGTGCCTTCAACCCATGAGTAAAGCGAAGAAAAATCGCCTCACATTAAAGATATCAAGTCACACTCGAGCTACTAAATCGTGAAATCCTCTCACTAAATCACAACTAATAAAACCCTAATTAGAAATTAGGTGAATAACCCAACCGGGAGTCAAAACCCTAAATTCCCGACTTTAAGGATAAAAGGTTGCTTTACCCTTCTCTTATTGGGCCTAACATACCAAGGCACAAAATCCAAACTAGCCCAAACATCCAAAAGGTATTATAAGTCCAAAATGGGCTCAAATCCATAAAGGCACATCTTAGAAAAACTTGTGCTCCAACAAGGGCCTAAAACCCTAAAGTTAAAGATGGCCCGAAACTAAAAGCCTAAAATCCCCCTTTCGTGAGTACGCTAAGAGTACCCCTTAGTACGCCCGACATACTCGGATGCTTAACCATACCCGCGGACTGTACGCTCAACGTACAACTGCGTACGCCCTAGTTGGCCAAATTTCCTTTTTAAGGTCTTAATTAGTTAAGACCTAACGTCCAACTTCAGATCTAACCTCCTTAAGACGTCCTAAACGATAAAGTTGGCAACTTTATCCCTTTGCATGACTTAATGGGACTCAAGTCGTAGATTTAACACTCTATTTCCATTAAATGGTCACTAACTCACGCATGGTTGATCTACAACCATCAACATACAAGCTTTATGGATCAATGGACCTCAAAATAACAAAAGGGACGTCTCATAACATCATAAGTAGCATTTACTCATAAGAGTTCATCCTTGGCACCAAAATATGTTGTATTCTTCCCCAAACTTAGATCTAGACATAGGATGAACAAGTTTCAGACTTTATACCTCCAATGAGCTGGAAATGGTGAATAACCTCTGGATCTACAAGCTCCTTCTTGTCCAATGCTTCTCCTCAAGCCTTCTTCTTTTTAAATAAGCACCACATACACACATAAAACACACACAAGCTCAATCTCTTTGAGAAATGAATTAGGTTTTCAATGTTAGCTAAAAAAGGCAATGGGGCTGATTATGTGAGGGTTTGGAGGGGTATAATGTGTTTAAATATGGTGCAAACCCTAAAAATTAGGGTTTTCCCCTGGCTCACGTACGCCCTACGTACGTATGGGTACGCCCAACATACATAGGGGACATCCCGCCTCATGCAACCCTTGGAGTACGCTTTGTGTACCATATGTACGCCCAGTGTACTCGAGTCCATGGTCTCGCACCCAAAAGGATTTTTACTAAGTTAATTTGTACATGACATTTCGGACGTTACATTAATTATTTATAAGATTAGTAATGAATGGTGGTTGAAACAATTGTGCTAGGTTCGACCTTGTAAATAATTGAATGTTGTAATAAAAAAAACAGGGGTACAATCGAGGGTTGAAACTTTTGTTCCATAAAAAAGCATAAATACATGATAAAGGGTGTTTCTATTTGATAAGAGAATTACATTTCACATTAATTGTATTTTTTAAGAATTTAATTAATTTATTGTTTAAAAAATCGAGGATTTCACAAATTTTTACGATTTTTAATTTATCATTCTTATGGATTTTAGTATTTCAATTTTTTTAAAATTTTTATATAATCCTTATGCATATAGTTCTTTAATAATACGTAAATATAATCTAATATATTACATTCTTTAAGAATCGAGAAACATTTTGAAAGAATGTGATTCTTAAAGAATATTATTTAAATAACATCACTTCTTTCTTTATAGTTTTCTTTTAAATCTAAAAGAAATATAATAAATTATTGAAAGAAAATGACAAAAATGATAAGCTCATGCCTCATACTTACATTCTCATAAGAATCATATAATCAAAATGAAAAAAAAAAGTTAAAACTTATATATTTTTTAGAATATAAACCAGCTGCATTCTTTACGAATGAAAAAAATAAACAAATAAAGGACAAAAAGATATTATGCAAGAATACACTCTTGTTTTTTAAAAAACATATAAATGTGATGTTTTTGCTAACATGAAACAATGTCATAATGAGCTAGTATTCAATAGAGCATTATTCTTTAAGAATTTGCCGGTATTCTTTAAGAATGGAGCAACATTCTTATTCTTGAAAGTTTTTATAATGAAAGTATGCAATTATTTTTCTTTGTTCTTGCTTCCGTAATTGTAACATAATCGATCACTTGCCTCGTGAACTTGTCAATCTTGCACCTAAAAATTTGAAAAAAAAACATTAAATTGATAATTTTGAACTACATCTAAAATGTTTTTAATTTCACAATACAAAAGAAAGTTGAAGAATGAAAACTAGAACTAAAACAATCACACTAATCTAAAAACTACATGTATATTTAAAAGGAAAAAGGTCTTCGTTCTAACTTGAAGTTAATAACATTTCTTGAAATCTTTTCGAAAGAATTATAAACTCTATTAAACCTTAGTACAAAACTTCAAATAAAAGAAAACATTAGAACTAGATTGTAACAAAATCCACATTAAATTGTTTCCTAAAAACCTTAGGTGGTAAATAACATGCTTACTTTAATCAAATAACTAAAGCTACATGGAAATTGATAGAAATTCACACAATATAAGAATTTGATCGCATAAAGGTAAACATGTAAAAGAACTAAACAAAACCTTGAAATTACACAAAGGGTATTATATCATCAAATAGATAGTGTTCGTAAAGAGCGGATATAAACAAATTGAAATTGAGAAGTTGTGGAATTTTGATTACCTTCATAAAGCCATCTATAAAATACATGTAAAGTATTGATAATCGGCTTGTAACATTCATCACCATCAACGGAAAAACAAAAATAAAATAAAAACAAATCAAGTGAGAACCGCAAGTCTAAACCCTCCAAATCGATTACATCAAATAATAAGTTGGTTCAATTTGAGAATTTTTCCTTAACCCAGAAGAAATCGAGAGTTTATTCCTGAATGGAGAGAAGAAGATGGAGGCCAACCCATAAAACTGGTGATATCAAGGTTCTAGGAAAGAGAGAAACAACAACGGTGACATTTGGGTTATAGATTATTTTTAGCGGTTGGTTGATGAAGATGAATTGTTATATATATATATTAAAGATGACCATTTCATTGAACAGTGAAGTGGAGTGTTTTTTTTTTGGCAAGAATGGTCCATGGATGTGTTGTTTCCGTTTGTTTTTTGTTCCAGGGCATTTTATGGAAATATTCACATTCTTTATACACGTGTTGATGATCGTTTGGTTTTATCCGCTTCCCGATCTTTCCCCCTGCGTCCTTGTCTTCGAAATTTCAGATGAGCATCCAAACCTTCTGTTCTCTTTCTTCCTTCGGAGGTGCTAGAGAAGGTGAGCCGTTTTGGATCGGTTTTTGATCACCATGACCGGCCAGCAGGAGGAGCAACAGCCGCCGTCACTAATCTATATACGTCTACTGCCTTCCGGTTCCTTCCACCGCTTCCATTTTCCTATGTTAAACTGAGTCCTCTCACCGTCGTCGAAGCCGGTAGATGAGAGCAATTGATCTTCGACCGCCGCCTTCTTTCTTCCTTCACAGTTCTCGGAATAGCTCTAAAGTGATGTCTACATGTTATGTTATGTTCGTTCTTGATCAGGTTTCTGTTTTGGGATTAATTGACCCGCTGCTTTTATTTTATCCTAATGTTTATACGATTTTTGGTTGTTGATTGTTTTTTATACAACAAAGGTTGAAGTGGTCCATTGGTGCTCCGATTTATCAACCCCACCTTCAGGTGCTTCTCCAACCTAATTTTTCTCAAATTAAAGCCATAGAGGTAGAATTTTTCTTTTTCTGTTTAATTTTCATATGACAATCACAGTTGTTTGGATTCCTTGCTTCTCTGTCGACTTGATTGTGTGATTACTTACTACCAGTTGAAGGTTGACTTATTGAAGATCTGGAATCAGTCCAGGTAAAGCTCAGTAAAACCTCAATTGATTTATGCCCACCAGCTGTTTGTTAAAATGACAAATATAGATTTTACACCTGTTACATTATTATTTCTTTACTTTAATTTTTTCGTGTATATTAACTGATTAGAAGGGTTTTTGGTCATTTTTTTAACTGATAGGTATGGAATTCAGGCCTGGAAATCTTTCAACAGTCTTTGGGTGGAGGAGCCACATCTACTACTACTACATTTCAAATTGAAAGGTTGTATGAAATTAACCATTGATCTTATCTTAGTGTTCATATTAATATAATTACAGAAAGACACAATATTGTTGTAATTAGCATATACTCAAGAAATCTAAATTACCTTTTTGATGTTTGCAGGGAAGCTTTGCTTAAGGTAGATGGGTTCTGATATTGATCCAAAAATGAAAGCAGAGAGTGAGAACGTGTGTTTCAAACTTGATGGTATGTACTTCATTTTATCTTTTGAATTACTCCAAATTTACACGACGAAAGGAAAATAATTATTTGCAAGGTTGGTTCAATTTCGTTTCGTTTTGAAGATCTATTAACACATATTTTGTTTTTTGTTTTTAGTTTGATAACAAATTCGACTATAAAGTTTCTCAACAGTTACAAATTCGCCTCAGGTATGTAATGTTAATATGTTATACCACTGTCCATTCTCTTTTCGCCCTCTTTTTGTCTTTGTGGTTGATTTTTGGACCTGGTTCCTAAACTCAAAAGGGTTTTACTGTTATTGCATTCGGACTGGCAGTGTACAGCTTGATGTAAGTTTATCTTTTTTGTTGTTCTTTTTATGCCCTGATTTTTGGTTGTCTCTAATTTCTTTCTATTTGTGGTGGTTTTATGTGATTTCTGAAGAAGAAAAGCTAGGGTTCTGTAAACCGTTGTGTCTTCCTTCACAGCTTCTCGAATGGGTCCAAGGTACTATTCAAATCCTACATTCCCTCTCGATTAGGTTTCTTAACTAAATTTTCTATGTGGAATGTATACATCAATAACAGGAGGCGTTTGTGGCTGCTTATGAGGATTTAACAAGCGGCGCACCTGCTTTACTTTTTGGACATGTTATAACATGAGGTTGCATTTTCTTGCTACTGAAAAGCGTGGCCCATATCAGATTACTGTTACATTATTGTGCTTATTAATTTATGTTTTTTGGAAGAATAAATATTATTGATTTGTTTTTATTCGTTGTTTAGGTTCTTGTGAGAAACATCCCCTCTGATGTTCATGAATCCGTTTGTGAATATGTTAGACCATTTCCTGTCCTTCTTTCTTGGTTTGATTCCAGCAACAAAGTTTCTATACTTTTTTTTTATGTGTGTATGTTATTTTTATAGCTTACTTGATGTATATGTGTCTCAGGTAGATGCTAGCATTTATTTGTGGAGGTGGGATACCTGTATTATGATGTTGGATGTTGTTCGAATAATTACCAAGTAAGATAATTGTATTTTTTTTTAAAGAAAAAATTGCTTAGTAGTTAAAGGAAAAACTTATGGTAGCACGAATTTTCCATTTAGTTTACTCTACATTTATCCTTATTGGTGAGTAACACTTTGTTGGATCCAATCCATACATACATAAATCGTGACCGAATGAAATTTTTTATGTAGGGTTAATGAGTAAATGAACTAAAGAAAGATGCTTATGAAGCAGGGTTTCATTTGCGGTATTTCTATCTATTATTTTGGATATTTACAGTTCATGTATTTTATTGGATGGAAATTCAATGAATAAGATTTATAGGTAATTTATTCGAAATTAACAATGTACTTATATATATATATATATATATATATATATATATATATATATATATATATATATATATATATTTTCTAATTTCAGGGGTTTTCACGCCAATCGATAGGCCTACGGCACATAATAAGGTAGACTGTCAAAATTTTGCGTTCTTCCAAATGACGTCTATACCATATGGTAGTCTACTCATTCACACCATATGTTTATACCATATGTTTGATATTGTTAGTGCGAGCAGCAACCATTTTCTAAGCGAGCAGCAACCATTTTCTACTTCAACAACTTCTACTTATAGTTGTTTGGTGTTTTGTGACTAAACTACCCCTATGTACAGTTTTTTTGTTCGTATTTCAATTTTGCTGAAAGATCAATTTTCCCCTACACTCAAATATGCATCAGTGTAGTAAAATGGGACAGTATTTACAGTTTTTTTTATGTTCAAATTGAATGCAAAGTTTTTTTTTATTAAAATTGACTGATTTCATCAATAAAAAATATCTTCTTTTTTATCATTAATAGTTTGTGACCGAACTACCCTTATGTAATGTTTTTTTTGTTCATATTTCAATTTTGTTGAAAGACCAATTTGCCCTTGCACTCAAATATGCCACAGTACAGTAAAATGGGACAATAGTTGATCAAACTATAAACAAATAGTTGATCAAATGACATATACAAAGAACAAACAACGATAAAAATTGTCGCATCGGTTCCCACCTAGTTAGGCATAAATTAAGACTGATTTCCTATATAAAAGGATATTAATTAATTTAACAATTTATAGTTAAGATTATAAAATTTCCCTTTGTAGGTTTTTGAAATGATTGGTCGATATTAATACCACATCCACATAATAATTGTCCATCTATATATGAACATTCTATTAGAATGAAAGTTTATAACATTTTTTAAGAAAACATAAATAAGAAGAAAACATGAATATTATGAGAAAATATACAAAATCTATTAATGAACTAATAATATATCGAATATTTACATTGTGTGATTGTGATACACAAAAGCATTCTTGATTAATAACAACATTATAATAATTATAACATTCTGAAAAAATAATAACTGTAATTTTTAAAAATAACAACATTCTTAAAATGTGAGTGTGATCAATCTTTGATCCATTCTTCAAGTCATTTATATCACGAATGCATTGCTAAATATTTTGTGGTAATACATGTGAAACAACTGCACATTAAAAATATGATTAATTAACTACAATTCTATCATAATGCAACAATAAGACTCGTAAAAATTCTAACAGAATGCATTACTTTTTTGTATTTCCAACCACTTAAACAGAACCATTTGATTATACCAAAATAACATAATACACTTACCCATTACTACTGTGTAACTAAAATACAAATTATAAATTTTTAAAAATATTCTTGAATAATCATTAAACCTAATATGCAATTATCATTTTCAATTCTAATCGAGTGTATTTCAACATAATACACTATACAAAGTGCAATGTATTATTATAGAATATAGTACTTTTCCTAAAAAAATTAGTATTTTGTGATAATACATTGACAAATAGGGAGATTGAGTAACATAATTGAATAAGAAATTAAAAAGTATCATGCAAAGCTCCAAAAGGCTTATCTTTCAGGAAATAAAAAGGATCACGATCCCCTTATGTCAAGAATTCATCGAGAACTTTCTTGGTTCCATAACTAGCAAACACGGCTTCTGTTTTTGTTGGTTACTACAACAAAGTTCAAATGATCATGCGATACACAAACAAACATAATATGGTGATATAAATCTATCTATGTATCATAACCAAAATGATAATGCCCATAAAAGAAAAGCATTAAATTATCACATGTTATATTTTAATAATATATCATGGACGTGAAATTACCCACGGTTGATTGACAACCAAAACTAAAAAGTAACCAAAATTTCAATATCAAAACTATGACAATACAAAAGTAAACAAAAAGCAAGAATGATCATAAAATGTCATAATTTCACAAGTAAAATACATGGATGGAAAAAGAAATAAAAAATAGTCTAATGAAAAACAACATGTTTGCATCTTTCTTCTGTCTTATTTTCTTTACGATAAATTTAAACAAAATAAATAACGTTCGTGCCACTAATCGCATATTAACACATGAGCGGACAAAAATTAATGCCTTATATTTTCTCAAAACTTCTTTAACGTCACTCAAGTTAAACTTTGTTTATAGTGGTAGAAAAGACAGCTGAATGGGTAGGGTTGAATGAAATTCAAGAAAAAAGAATTTATAATCTTATCAAAATAACATAATTACCTGGAATGATGGAATTGTGATCAGCAATGTTGATGTGGTGCAAGAATCGGCTGGAGGAATTGGGGTGGAAGCCTCTTAGTGATGGTGGCCTAGGGTTATGAAATATGAAGTATGTTACGATGATTTAAAGAGCATTAATCCATTGCTTAAGGGATATACCATCTTTATTATTTCAGTTATAAAAACAATTTTGTATAATATTACTCATTTACCCTTATTTGTTTACCTTATTTGTTTAATTAATGATTTTTTTTTTCTGAATTCTCTTTGGTTCTTACAACAGTGTTTATATATATATATATATATATATATATATATATATATATATATATATATATATATATATATATATATATATATCAAGGTTGCAAAAATCGCTGGACGGTAGCTCGGTGATGGACTAGGGTTAAGGAAATAATCGGTCAGACGGAGATTAATTGGGGACAATTAATTATTATGAAAATTATTCAAAAAATTAATAAATCTAAATTTAATCCTAATAATATATGTAAATAAGAATAAAAGTTTAATAAGCATGCACAACAAATTATCATCCAAAACAAACATAATAGGTTAATAATAAGTTCAACAAACACACCAAATCATCATCCAACAAGTTCATAATAAGTTTAAATAGCACAGAAATAAAAGATATTATCTTCTAATATTCTCCACATACTTCCATTATTTGAACCCCATCCGACTCATATTCGTCTTCTTTTAACACTTGCTCCTCACTCTCATACTCAAAATCTTCATCGGAAAGTTCCCTCGTTCTTGGACTTTCTCGAGGTGGTTGATTATCATCGGTTCCTAGATCTTCATTAAACATTTCGGGGTCTACTTCATCTACATCAACAATCCATTCTTGAGCCGAGAGTGAATGATTTGCTAATAGCACCTCCATATTTCTATCTTTTTGCTTTTGGTTTTTTTTTTCCCATTAAACTAGCATTGAATTTAACATAAATGATATGGACATATTTAGTTATAAAATCCATGCATTATCTTAATACTTTATGTTGTTTTTGTCTCAAATATTGAACAAAAGGTACTTAATTAGTTTAAAATTTCATTTTTAGCAACAAAGACATGCTCGAAAGGAAAAGGAAGCGGATTTAGTGATTCGAAGCTTGGAATTTGGATTTTGAAGAAAGAAGGCAAAATAGAAGAACAAGTCAGTGAGTTTATCCTAAAACTCGACGAGTTGATGATATGAAGAATCCCGACAAAATAGTGTCTTGCCGTACACGTGATTTTAATGAAAAACTCGGCGAGTTTGGGTCCTCCAACTCGATGTGTTGAGCCTATTTTCAAAATCTATTTAAGGATCGTTTCTGCTCGAAACCCTAACATTTGTTGGAGGATTTTAGCGACTTTTGGAGGCCAGAGACATTCTCAAGAAGCTTTGGAACTCAGAATTCGACTGGAGGTTAATTTTGAAGAGATCAAAGGCAATTAATCATTAATTTTCTCTTAACTCTTTGTGTGAATCATGTTTACAACATTAGATTTCGAGTTTATGTATTAATTTGCTGAAGTTATGGGCTAAAACACCATACTTTCGTTTAGAATAGATGATCTTATGACTATTTGTTGATTAAGTGGCTTTGGATTATATTGATTTGGTTATTTATCTTGTTAAGTTTCTTAAAAGATCCTTATGTGTTAATTACAATTATTTTCTGTTAATGACTACGTATATTGAGTTGTATGAACATATGCTTGATTACTTAAATCTTATGGTTTTGTGAAAACAAGATTGTATGCCTAGTGTTGTGAACATAACCTAGGGTTAACTAGAGAATAAATAAGTTAATGTGTGAGCATGTATGATGACCAACCATATATGAGTTAATTGAACCAACCAATTTGATTAACTATTATTACAAGTCTTGCTTGATTCAAATTGAACACTAGTAAATCCTTTGATGTAATCACTTGATCACTGCTTGAATTGGTTTATTTGCTAAAGGATTAGTAATAGTGAACATGAACCTAATCACATTAGAAATCGGTAATTGATAATATATTAATCCATTGCACTTGCCACGAAATCAACCATAAGAATAAGTGAATCGAATCTAAACGGAAGTCTCTTTAATCTTATTGAATCTAGTTGTCTTTTTCTTCTCTTTTAGTTGTTAATTGTTCTTTGCTTAAGTGTTTAGTAATTGCTAAGTTTCTAGTCTTTCAAAACTAGAGAAAAAACCCCTTTTAATAACTGTTTTATTTAGATAATATTAGTAATATTTTAATTCTTTGCTAAGTGTTTAGTAACTGGTAAGTTTCTAGTCTTGCAAAACTAGAGAAAACACCCCTTTTAATAACTGTTTTATTTAGATAATATTAGTAATATTTTAATTGTTTACCGTTCCCTGAGTTCGATACCCTACTTGCCTACACTAAACTGCTAATCCATAGGTACACTGCCCTCCGTGTGTTTGTTTTTGTGTTAGAGTTAGTTAGGATTAAAACTAGTGCATTCCACACGTATCAAGTTTTTTGCGCCGTTGCCGGGGAAACGGTTCTAAATATTTAATTTTATTTGCTAATTGTTATCGATCATTTGTGTGAGATTTTTCTCATATAAAGTTACGATTTTTCTGTTTTTAGTTTTATTATTATGTATTTTCCAAATCTTGATGCTTTTCTTGAGGTAGTAGTATAGGAAATTGAGCAAGAAGATGAGGAGTATGACTCAGATGAAGATTTGATGAAATTGGGAAGATGGTTAGAATACATATTGTCTAACGAACAAGAACAATCTGAGTCACAAGAGCTAAAGTTACAAGATGAAGAATTTAATCTAGAAAGAGATTTGGAGGAGCTGGAAAGGTTGCTGGCAGAAGGGCCAGACGAAGAACAAGAACAAGCTGAGTTACAGAACCAAGCCGTGGTTTGACCATTACCACGACGTGTCACACCCCCAAACCGGAGCGGCGGAAACATCCAGGGGTGGATGACTTCATGTTTAAGTATCACAACACACGCATTATAGTAATCAAAGTACAACAAACATTGCATTTAAAGAAATACTAGTTTTACATAGTGTGTTCAATCAAAGTATATTGACACCATATTATAGCAAAAGATAGAAGACATGACTCTATACAGCTCCGTCTTCTCAAAAATCCCGGGAATATACCTGTTTACTGGTTC